GTGTGTGTGTGTGTGTGTGTGTGTGTGTGTGTGTGTGTGTGTGTGTGCGCATTAAGACAGAACAGTGGTGCTAGTGAGATGTCAGCGCTGTTATTGTTACAGTCTAGTCTCGTGGCCCGAGGCTGTAGGACACAAAAACACACTGTCTGACTGGGCCCGTCCTCTGCACCCAGGCCGCTCTGTTGTCTTTTCCCATCATCCGTCTCGTCCTCGTCCACCATTCCACCCACCACCCCCACCCCCACCCGTCTAAAATCATTCAGAGGAAGGTCACATGGTTCAGTGAAGATTTGAAAGCAGCAGTGGAAAGATTTCAGGACAGCGTGAGCAACGCTGTCCACCACATCAGCCTTTAGATCGCTTGCTCGCTGGGTGGGGGCGTGTTGGGGGTGTCTGGATTGTTCTCGTTAGGGCGACTGTTACGGTTTAGTCAATGTAGGATAGAAAACATTAAGGTTTCAGTTCACACTATCGTTATCTAAGTATAGCAGGTTCATTTTTAGGAATATGTATTTATTTGAGAAACTTTCACCCTCTTCATTACAAAACGTTCTCCTACATTCCATCCATGCTCTACAGATGAGTGTACCGCATTATTACAGTAGATCATTGTTATTGGTATTAAAGCTGGTTAATATGGCTTGTAACTTACGGGGATTAGCTCGACCATCTTTTTACAAGTGGAGGCTGTTTCCCAACTCGACGTGGATATTTGATGTAATAGGCTGACGGTGTCCCTTCCTGTTTCCTCCATGTCTTCAGGTGGGGCAGGTGGAGCGACATCCTGGCTCACGGGCGCTTCAAGCGGCCCCTGAAGGAGGCCGACGTGGAGACGATCTGCAGGGCCCTGCTGGCTTACTGCCTGCTGCATTACCGCGGAGACGAGAACATCAAGAGCTTCATCTGGGACCTGATCACCCCGAGTGCAGACGGGACCACCAAGACGCTGACCAACCACTCTGGTAACACACACAGACACACACACACGTATACCTGATTCAGCTATAGACTCACTCTGTATGTACTGCGTAAGCACATATAGTCACACAGCCCCAACACTACATGTCACAGCTCAGAATGACTGCTGCAGAGGAGAAATCTCATGCAAGTCATCTCTTTAAAGTGATGTCTTGCCTAACGAGTTTTCATTGCTTACCAGAGCTGATTGTTGGAGAGAAAGTAGTGAGAAGAGTTGGCTGCTAGTTAGAATAATACCAGTGTGTTTAAGCTCAGTGAGTTGGCCGTTTAACAGGACTCTTGAGGATTCTTACCGAAACGGAGTGATTGTTTTTATGTTAGTGTATGATCCCTCAGCTATTGAAAAGTATAAAAACAGAGATAAATACCTGAGTTTTGGTGTAACGAAACAATACTATGACACTTAAATAAAAATTTAAAAAAATCTCGATAGTAAGATTTCCAGAAAACAATTCAAAGTTTTCAATTGTCTAAACCAGTGTTTAAACACTAACCTCAACGTGCAATATAGCGCTGACGAAAGAACACAAGAATAAAATGTAGTTAAATAGAATAAAGAAATCTCTTCATCACCGTCTCTTCCCATCTCTCTCTCAAACACACAACAGTGACACTCAGTCCGTCTCTGTCCCTCTTTTATCTCCTGGCTTGTGCTACTATAATGCTTTAAAGTTCGTGGGTCGGCACGTATGGACGTGGCCTTATTGGGCCTCATTTCACATCAGATTTGAAAACGCAGGTTGAACAATAAGGCCCATGGCCTTATTGTTCAACCTGCGTTTTTCATCAAATCTAATGTGAAATGAGACTAAATGGACAAAATGATTGACTTCATATAATCTGACTAAAAACAACATTTGGACAAGGGACTAAGACCAATTTAAAAAAAAAGTGACAAAATTTAGCGACAAAGCATTTTATCTAAAACTAGATTAAAATGATAAAAATACTTGAATGTGACGCATTTTCATCTGAAGAGTAAGACGCTGCCTAAGTTGACATTGGTCCAACCAAAAGAAGCTGCTCAAGAGGAACCTCGTCCAAACAAGACTAGCTTATTGTTATTATTATTATTATTATTATTACTACTATAACATTATAGATCCCTGAAGCCAGCAGTGTTTTGTCTTGTGTTGTGGATTCTGCTGTTCAGGAACGAGGTTTACAGGTTGTCATTTCGTAGAAGTACCCTACCATTGTCTGAGCACCTTGTCCCCCTCCCCCCAGGTCTCTCCACTCCAGTCCCTCGGGGCAGGAAGGGCAAGAAGGGGAAGCCCCTAGCCCCGCCTCCGCAGACGCCGCGAGCCGATTGGCTGGCCAGCTGCAACCCCGACCACTTACTGCAAGAGGATAGCTACAAGAGACACCTGAAACACCACTGTAACAAGTAGGGCCTCCTCATTCTACACACTCCACACACACTGCAGGGGCCCAGTAACAGTTTATAAAAGGGTTATTAGGCTATGGATACCGAGCTAATGTGGACGGAGCCATGGTTTTAACACACACGCACTCACACGCTGGATCGCTGCCCTTGGTCAGCTCTCTCTCCTCTGTTGTCAGGGCGATAGGCCTCAATCCCAAGATTTTGTTTCTTCTTCTTGAGGGGGAAGTTTGTGTGTGTGTGTGTGTGTGTGTGTGTGTGTGTGTGTCTGGCTGTGTGCCAGGCCAGGTGCTAGGCAGGCAGACCTGTTGGAAGTGGGTGAAAGAACGCACTTACGCACGCACACACACACACACACACACACACACACACACACACACACTTGGGGGTGATTATGTGGTGCCATCTGCTAGGCTGGAGCACAGCGTTGTGTGGCTAATCAGGCCTGGCACATTGATGGATGAGCTCACACAGCCTGCCAACAAACACACACACACACACACACGGCAAGTTGTGATGCCATTGATGCACAAACACACACTCACACTGCAGAGTGGCTTTTATACCCTCCCCCCGTCTTCGCTGCCTCTCCAAAACTTTCTGTCCCCTCCAGCAACGCCGCTCTCTGTCCTTTCAGTTATTTTCCTCACTGCCCCTCACCCCCGCCCCTCCTCGTCCGTCCGTTATTGGCATTAAATCCTGGTGACAAATGTTTACAGTGAAGGCACGTCTCCCAGTTAGCAGCGTTTCCAGCGTCAGGAGATCAGATCGGACTCTCATTCTTGAGCCGTGGCTGAAGTGATCAGTTTTGCTGGGGGGAGGGTGCTGGAAGAATATAACTCTGACCGGGAACATCCGTGGTTCGTATCCAGAGAAGGCCATCTATTAGGCAGCAGTTGTAGAAGCAGTAATGTATGATTCTGCAGCCGGTATTTCAGCTGCAGAGTTGTAGCTCACTGAGCTACTTCTGCTTCTTTACAGCTCGTCCTCCAGTTGAGTCAGGTGATGAAATCTCCCATATCGGAGGCTTTATATGGAAATGTTACGAATAACAAGTGGGGAAATACGTTTTTGCAAAATAATTGCATTCTATCAATGATTCTCAAAGTGGAGTCTGTGAAAAGTTTTCACATTCATTCATTTTAAACTATTATTTATTTTTTAACAAATGCTTCATAGTTCAACTAATAATATTTACATTTTTAAAGATGTAAAGATTAGTTTCATTACAATCAATTCATTGATTAATAATTTTCTCTACTCATGTCCACACTACTCCGTTTCCATTTGAAAACGCATGTTTTGCTACGTTTACACTGAGCGTCCACACTACGCTGGCGTTTTTGAGCACCGAAAACGGAGGAGTTCGAAAACACTCCCGAGGTCGGTTAAGTTTGAAAACTCCGGGGTTGCGTTTTCGTGTGGCCGGTCGAAAATGGATATGTGGATATGGATATGTTTAGAAACGATGACGCCCACACCCATGTTCGCTACTTGATTGGTTCTTAGCAGTCACGACGTGTCCTTCCCTGATTCGTCACGCCCCTATCATGTGACCCTTACCTGGAAGATCACAAACAACAACATTGATTACCGATCAACTACCAGGTTAATTCAACATGGACAACTGATTACAGGTGTTGCTGACCTTGTTGTCTTTATTAGCAGCTGTTCAGTTAAAATCTGCATTATTACGGAGGAAGCAGCTGTTATTGGAGCGATTAGCGAGCGGCGTGACCAGCGGCGTTACCAGCCCTACGGAGCGGACGTCTGAAGTCACGGTTAGTGGCTTTAGGGAGGGTGATGGACACAAAACGGAGGACTTTTCTTATTAATGCTTATTTTGTTCTGCACATCTATTGTGAAGTACACAGATAAAATGTAAAAGGAACAAAAGCAGTAAATGCTATTCAGTAGGACAGATAGTTAAGCCACCAGCAGAGCTACGAGTGAGAACAGACACAATGAAACCGAGAGGAAACGAGTGAGAGACGTGTGTTGACCACATTTATGGACCCATAATCTAGTAAACGTTTACGTGTAAGTGTTGATTTTAAAGTAAATTTGATATGTGAGAGAGAGATAGAATAAGACCTGCAGCGTTGTAACTAATTCTGAAAAATAAAACTTTCCACGAACTGTGTTTGAGTTTATAGAGGAAGATTTTAGAGAAGATCTTAAGTATCAAACACGACCTTTTATTACCTCATTGTTAAAGACTACTTTATTACTCTGTCCTATTTTTAACTAAGCAACCAATCTACTTCCTGTTTACATCGACGCGCATGCCCATTGTACGTGAAGAGTCACGTGATATTCGTTAACGGAGATCAATTCGAAAACGATGCTGAAACGCCGTGTGGACGGAGATCGTTTTTGTTTGAAAACGTAGTAGTATGGATGTGGCCTAAACCTCAGAAACAAGTGAAAGACACAATTTCCCAGAAGCCAATGGGACGCTTTCAAATGTTTTTTTGTCTGACCAGGTGACCAAAACCCAAAGATGCAAAGTCTACAGTGATTTAGAACAAAGACAAACACCAAACGGTTGAATTTGATAAACTAGAACCAGGAAGGTTTTGTCAGAAATCATTGATCAGTTACACACAGAGTTTACACAATGATTACAATGACCCAGAACCGTTCTTCCACCATCACTCTGACAACCATCTCATCAGCTCATGCAAAATAAGGTTCTCAGTTTTTTCAGCAGAAGCTAACTAATGGATTTTGTGTTGCAGGGTGTTGCTGCGGGTGAGGATGCTATATTACCTGCGGCAGGAAGTCATCGGCGACCAGGCCGATCGCATCCTGGAAGGAGCTGACTCCAGGTCAGTGAACACTTCTCTTTAATCGTATCCTCCCTCGCTATGGATGACGACCACATGAGGCTGTTTCAGCTTTACCTTTCTCTCTTCACTTTGAGCATTTTGCTGCTCAAACTCACTCTGCAGCTCTTGTTGTTTACAACAAACTAATCTGACATCTGAAGATTTTAAAACAAGACGTTCTTGTTAGTGATCTGTTTTATTGTTAACATCACCGATCTTAAAAAAAAAAAAAAAAAAAAAAGAAAGATGGACAGAAAACAGAACTACCCTTTGGATTCTTTGTCCAGACCTTTAATTTCATAACCTGCTATTAGATCCAATCCCTAAAAGAGCACCTGATCCATCCTGTAGGTTTTTTCCTAGAAGACGACACACTAGTTGTTTACAGTTGACGGAAAGGCTTTCATGTATCGGATGCATCATGAGAGTGAGTTGAGAGATGGATATTTATATGAGCGTGTGATGAATTATTACTGGAGTGTATTTCTGCTTGTTCTATTGGCCTCTTTGGCTGGTTTCTTTCTATTCTGACGGATACAACACAGTGTCTTTATCTGGGGAAAAGCAGCTTTTTATCACAGTTTTGACCCATTTAGAGCGTTTTCTTTTCCCTCCACGCGTCAAGGAGACTTTTTGTCACTGGGCTCGAGGTTTCACAGTGATGCTGTCCATGTGGAGGTCTCACTCTGACGACTCAGTCACCGCTCCCTCCATCTTCTTCTCCGTCACGCAACACTTTTCTTGCCATCTGTTCATCTCTCTCCCCTTTCTCTCTGCAGTCCATTTTAGTCTCTCATCATCTTACTCCCCCTCCCATCACCCTTTCACCCAGATGTGACTGCATTTATAATGTGGAGCACGTGCACTTCATGTTGATCTATCCCCCCCTCCCTTTTCTCTCTTTCTCTATCTCCCCCCCCTCTCAATGGCTACTGTGACAAGCCCGTTTGTGTGTGTGTGTGTATGGCACGTGCGTGTGTCAGTGCATGCCAGACGTGAGCATACGGGGTGCCATCGTGCCAACATATGCCAGGGGGATTTAGCATGGCAGTCTTGGCGTGTGCGTTGCCAAGGCCGGGCATGCTGCTGTTTGCAGAGATAAGGGACTGTTTCCCTGGTTTCTTCTCCCCTCCTGTCACCCTCTGTCTCTCTGCTTCCATTGTTTATTGTACCCTTTCTCTCCAGAGCTAGCTGGAAACACCATTTTCTACCTTCTTTCCATAATGGAGGTTTCTTTCTCTTTTTTTTTTTGGTGCCACAACATAAAATCCTCTCTGCAAAAAACAACCTCACTCATTATAATTATTGTCAGTTTGTCATTTACATGCATGTTGCTGACCAAATAAGTGGTTTTAGTTTTTGTTTTTTTTAAAGCGAGACCTCATAAGCTCGTAGTCTGAGTGTAGCTGCTATGTCATACATCTCAAGCTGCTGTCGAGTCAAGAAGCTTCTAGTCACTGTGTGTTCCTAAAGGCTGCGATGGAAACTGAATGTCAGTGCTCCACGGATTTAGCATTGCACACGTAACGTTGAGGACTCACAGTGGATGCAGAATCGATGCAGCAGAACCAGAGTCCTTCAGCTGGAGGTTGGGGTTGTGTTATGCTAGTAGTGGCTAACGTAGCCTGGAGCCTCCAGCGGAGAGGATGAGTATCCTACAGAGGTCTGGTGGGCTCAGGTCCTTCTGACTCCACACCTCCGCGGGACCGCATAAATTATCAATTGAAGACACCAGAGATATTACTGTTATCCATGAGACGCTCAGTTACAATATAGCTTCCCACCACCTGGTGGCGGTAATGCGTCAGTCAGTTGTTTAACAAGCTCCAATAAGCAGAAGATGACACTCAGCTAGCCTGCAGCAAAAGTTATGGATACGTTTTTAAAAAGAAAAAATGAAGACGACAGTGGTGCCATACCCCCGCAAAAGTCTAAATGTGTGCACAAGTACAATCCTGACTTTCTTAAGTACGGCTTTGTGAACGGAGGCAACGAGGCAGAGTCGAGGGCTCAGTGTGTGGAATGTGGGCTAATGCTATCAAACGAAGCACTGAAGCCTTCGAAACTAAAGCGACACCTGGCGACGAAACATCCAACGCTCGTGGGAAAGCCTGTTGGGCTTCTTGTTGTGTATGCAGGTTTACATACACATGATAAATAAATGTCTTTGTGATCATCGCATTGTATCATCTCATTTATTTGACAAGCGTTTTGCCTGTTCAACTCCGCGAGGACGCCGGCGTCCTCGATCCCCTCCCCTTCCGTTCCTACAGCTTGCTTGCGCAAACTACGTCACAAAACATGGCCGTGTTTGGTATCCCAGCATGCCCAAAATCCTCATCTTTGCAAAGAAATCATCGATTTTCTTTCATTTCTTATGGATTTTTCACAAAAGGAGCCCAAACACACACCGTCCAAAGTCGCCATAACCGCTGCAAGTCGGATCTTGCAGCATTTCGACGGAAAAAGACACATTACAGACACGACAATGTGCTAGCGGATGTTACCATGGTGCTAGTGGCATCAGAAAACACTAGTACTTATAGTACAAACCTTATCTTCCTCTTACATAAGCCGTCAACCAACGTATAACCTTGCGTAACTGAGCTACCCGCATACTCGATCGTGCGCTTGATCGCAGCCATTACGCACAGCAAGTCCGCTACTCACACACCACGTCTTCGACGATATATACACTGCTCAAAAAAATAAAGGGAACACTTAAACAACACAATGTAACTCCAAGTCAATCACACTTCTGTGAAATCAAACTGCCCACTTAGGAAGCAACACTGACAATCAATTTCACATGCTGTTGTGCAAATGGAATAGACAACAGGTGGAAATTATAGGCAATTAGCAAGACAGACACCCCCAATAAAGGAGTGGTTCTGCAGGTGGTGACCACAGACCACTTCTCAGTTCCTATGCTTTCTGGCTGAAGTTTTGGTCACTTTTGAATGCTGGCGGTGCTTTCACTCTAGTGGTAGCATGAGACGGAGTCTACAACCCACACAAGTGGCTCAGGTAGTGCAGCTCATCCAGGATGGCACATCAATGCGAGCTGTGGCAAGAAGGTTTGCGGTGTCTGTCAGCGTAGTGTCCAGAGCATGGAGGCGCTACCAGGAGACAGGCCAGTACATCAGGAGACGTGGAGGAGGCCGTAGGAGGGCAACAACCCAGCAGCAGGACCGCTACCTCCACCTTTGTGCAAGGAGGAACAGCAGGAGCACTGCCAGAGCCCTGCAAAATGACCTCCAGCAGGCCACAAATGTGCATGTGTCTGCTCAAACAGTCAGAAACAGACTCCATGAGGGTGGTATGAGGGCCCGACGTCCACAGGTGGGGGTTGTGCTTACAGCCCAACACCGGGCAGGACGTTTGGCATTTGACAGAGAACACCAAGATTGGCAACTTCGCCACTGGCGCCCTGTGCTCTTCACAGATGAAATCAGGTTCCACTGAGCACATGTGACAGACGTGACAGAGTCTGGAGACGCCATGGAGAACGTTCTGCTGCCTGCAACATCCTCCAGCATGACCGGTTTGGCGGTGGGTCAGTAATGGTGTGGGGTGGCATTTCTTTGGAGGGCCGCACAGCCCTCCATGTGCTCGCCAGAGGTAGCCTGACTGCCATTAGGTACCGAGATGAGATCCTCAGACCCCTTGTGAGACCATATGCCGGTGCGGTTGGCCCTGGGTTCCTCCTAATGCAAGACAATGCTAGACCTCATGTGGCTGGAGTGTGTCAGCAGTTCCTGCACGACGAAGGCATTGATGCTATGGACTGGCCCGCCCGTTCCCCAGACGTGAATCCAATTGAGCACATCCGGGACATCATGTCTCGCTCCATCCACCAACGCCACGTTGCACCACAGACTGTCCAGGAGTTGGCGGATGCTTTAGTCCAGGTCTGGGAGGAGATCCCTCAGGAGACCATCCGCCACCTCATCAGGAGCATGCCCAGGAGTTGTAGGGAGGTCATACAGGCACGTGGAGGCCACACACTACTGAGCCTCATTTGGACTTGTTTTAAGGACATTACATCAAAGTTGGATCAGCCTGTAGTGTGTTTTTCCACTTCAATTTTGAGTGTGACTCCAAATCCAGACCTCCATGGGTTAATAAATTTCATTTTCATTGATAATTTTTGTGTGATTTTGTTGTCAGCACATTCAACTATGTAAAGAACAAAGTATTTAATAAGACTATTTCATTCATTCAGATCTAGGATGTGTTGCTTAAGTGTTCCCTTTATTTTTTTGAGCAGTGTACATAGTTTTTGCAAAGGCTAAAAATAAAAGGAAAATAATATAATATCAAAATATAAAGGGAGAAACACCTTTAGTGTGTCAGAATATCATTTGGTTACCATGTGTCCATTTGCGTCTCCAAATATCCTTTTAGAGCTCCGCCTGGATCTCTTCATGAAAGAAACACTGTAGAATCGTCACTTTGTCCAATCTTCTTCAAATTTGAGGCAGTTGTTCACTGATAGTGTAGTTACAGCCCTATACTGTCCTTTACCTGTACAGATACAGCCACAGGCAGTTATTTATACTGAAATATACTTTTTTTTATTTTATGCGGACAAAAATCTTACTGACTCCAAAGGCCCACTACTCTGTTTCTGTATGACCTACAGGTTTTCTGACACTTTTGATGCATATAGTCACAGTGGTTCAGAAGCTACAGCCATTTTAATTTGGGTATGTCATTTTAGGCGGTTTTGCTCCAAAATAGGGGTGGAGTTGAACAGGTAACAATATAGTTATTGAATACAAATCAAACCAAGAGTGAGATCAATTAGTTAAACTAATAGTGTTAATATTTGAATGGGCCCCGGGACACTTTGTACTTGAAAAGTTGGGCCCCGAGGTCAAAAAGGTTAAGAACCCCTGCCTTAACTGGTCCCACAAACACTAAAGGGACCAAACTAACTCCAATGATAATACCACACACCTTTAGAGCAACCATGTTGGTCATCATTGTGAGCTTGTGGGTACAATATTAATACCAGAGGAGGGAGTCGGCCCTATACTGGATGTGCTATGGTGCAAAATGGACGTTTCTAATGATGATCTTTAGATGCGTGTCCAGGAAGATCAGTGCCCTAATTCTACTTACTGAAACTCCACATGGTGTAGAGGCTGTCCCACTTGTTTCCTCTCCATATGAACGTGGATAAAATGATCATACAGAGCTGCATGTAGCTTCTCTTAAATGAGTTATTGTGTTCAGATATTATGCGGGTCTGTAAAGTCTTAAATTCAATTGAAATGTCTAACTAAAAAGCTCTAGAATTGTCTCAAATATGATTTATAGGTATGAAAAATAATGAATAATCCAGAGGGTCATCTGCATTTATTTATTAAAAAGGGTTTTTCCACTGCGACCAGAATTTACTGGATCATATCCATAAAGTGCGTCACTGTCCGTGGTGACTATGATGCTCCCCTACCAGCTTATTAAGATTTAGATTTATTGGACAGAGGCTGTTGATACATGGTTGGAGCCCACATGGAGCCCGAAGCGTTAAAATTAGGGACATTAGGAAATCAAAGTGTCAGAATCACACATGACTTGTGAAAAACATGGAGCCTTGATGAACCGGATGCTGCGTATCCATACTTTGATATTTTTGACAGCACTCGTTCCAGAGCATGCTCCCTGATCATCACCAAGACTAACGTGTGAATATATTCATGTGCGTTAGTTGTCGGACTTCATACTAATTTCCCTTCATACTTCTGTCAGTGTGACCGTAAAATCCAGTATTATATTTCATTCTATGTGCTCTCAGAAAGCTCTCCCAGTCTTCAACCCTGTGTGTCCACAGAGCCATGCGTAGGGTTGGATGTTACTTACCTGGTCAATTGTAGTCCTGATTCTGCTGATTTAAATTGGGTTCTTATCACTTCCTGTTTCAGTTTCTTTTCACATCCTGTTTGGGGAGAAAACTAGATGGAACTCCAAAACACAGTTCTTATTTTGAGCAGATTTAGGCTGCTGCCAAGAGACGTTTGAACCTTGAGGGAGCTGAGGCAGTACTTCCTGTTTAGATCATTATTATTATTATTATTGCACACACACAGTATTTTTTGAGTCTCTGTGACGCCGTGTTTGTACATCTGCCACAGTGAGCTGGACGTCTGGATCCCCCAGCCGTTCCACGCCGAGGTCCCGGCCGACTGGTGGGACAGCGAGGCCGACAAATCCCTGCTCATCGGGGTCTTCAAGCACGGTAAGAAGACCGCACGCTGCAGATCCATGTCCACGGGAATGCAAAATGAAAATCGCACACACTTACAGATAATATGTTAGCACACACAGATAACATGTCAGCACCTATACACTCTCTCTCTCTCTCTCTCTCTCTCTCTCTCTCTCTCTCTCTCTCTCAGAGACTCGCTCCGGTGGTTTCCAACACGGCAAACATCACGCGAGGAGTCACGCACACATCACGTTCAAACTGGGCGAGGGCACACATGCATACACACCAACACATCCCACCCACTTCTGCTGCCACCGGTTGATTGGTGTTGCTATGGCGATAGCAGTACGCAGCTGGCAGGCTCAGTGTGCTATCGGGAGTGTGATTGATGGCTGGTTTCACCAGGAGCCCCCAGAGAGAGAGAGAGAGTGTGTGTGTGTATGTGTCTCTGCTTTGGCAGGTAGTTACAGGTGTGTATGTCACAGATGAGGATAATAATAATACCAAACTAATTTCCCTTTTCTCCGTTTACCGACATTGGATTGTAGCGTTGGTCTCCCTATGACACACCTCTAGTTGCTGCCTGACTGTGTCTGCAAGCTGTGGAAGGAGACACTCATTCATATTAATTTGGCATAATTGTCATAATTTTATTATCATTGCCACCCTCTATGATTCAATTAGGACCCACACACACAGGGATACAAAAGGGCTCACTCATAGTTAATCATAATCCTCATTCACTTTGGAGGCCCTCGGGGTGGGGGGGCTAACACACAAAATAATGCATGTCTCACACACACAGTAAA